AAAGAAACCCACTGAACAGGATGAGTTATGTGTAAAAAGTTCCAGAAATGAGCTGTTTAACAGCTGGAGGGGATTCCAGATGCTTTTAAACATTCTGTTCCGGTTCAGAGTAAAGCCAGTTCTGGTTCAGAGATTCTGATTACTTAAATCTCTATAAGAAGATTTAAGTAATCAGAATCCAGATTTAACAGACCAATTAGATTTGGAACATTTCTGTTTAAAGTTACGATACAAATTAAAATTGGACTATTTTAACAAACTAGAAGCACTCTAACTACAAATAGAAAAACTATTGAATAAGACGAATATTTTCACTTCTCAGTTAAAACAAACAAATTCAGATTAACGTCACAGGTTTAAATCTCTGCGCCAACCTTTAAAATCAACCTTAAAAGCTGAAAGGGAAAATATTCAGATTTATTTTGGGTTTTTATCAAATTGTCAGCATTTTCTGCTCCTCCCAGCTGTCAGGACGGTTAGAGGTCAGGAAGGTTCTTCTGATGTTGACCCAAACCCAGACAACAGAATCAGGCATTCAGTGCGTTTAATGGAACATTTAATTACATTCTTCACATGTGAGACAGAATGAACTCAGGTACATGAGCTGTGATATATAAACATGTTAAAGCAGCTTCATTAACAGCTGGTAACAGAGACGACATTAACATTAACGTTGGAGGAGATGACCTTCAGGTTCTACTGATGAATCCAAGCTGCCAGGATGTGAATGAGAGAGAAACCTAATAAAGCTGCAGCTGACCTGGTTTATGAGGGAATTACCAAAGATATGACATAAAAACTGCTGGAAAATGTAAAAACTTCAAGTGTTTTAGCAACATTTGTTCACCTCATCTGAAACAAGAGATTTCCTATGAAAATTAAGACAGAAAAGTCACATATTTGTGAATTAACTCAAGCTTGTTAACAGAGGATTAAATTACAAAAAAAATGTCTTGAAATTGTTCTGTTTCAGCTTATTTCTATTTATTTATTTTAGCTAAAAAAGTAACAAACCAAAGATGAAACATGAACCAACGTTTTTATGAATGTTCAAAGATCAACTGTCATTAGTTATTAATCCCAAAATAAACTGTGCAG